TCAGCTGGGCGGCTTTCATGCCTAAAGTGGGACTAGAGAACTCATAGTTTCCTGGTTTCTAGGCCAGGACCTTAACTACCACACCAAACTGGCTGTCTTGGCCTTCTTCCTCACAACAACGTTGCACTCTTGTGTAAGGATGGTGGGAGGAAAATAATCCCGAGGAATGAATATCAGACTCCTTGGCTCAGTCTGGCAAAATTCTGTTTATGCTGCTCTGGAAGGGATTTGGGAATGAGCAGAACGGAAAGAGGACAGCAACTCATGTATTTATTTATTCGATTTCTATAGCCAAGCAAAAAGACACCTTTGCCAAATCTTTGCTTTGCTGACTCATCGGGGGGGAAAAAAAACCTTCAAGATCAAGCTTGTTTTGTGTCACATACAGGAATTAGGAACAAGGCAATTGGGATTCTAGATTCTGGCATGTGACTGAAGGGAAACAGAAATGAGTAACAGGGTGATAAACTCAGTCATGTGTTTACTGAGATGGAGGATCAGATATTCTTCTCCTGCATTGTCCACCCTCTTACCTCAAATCTAACAAAAGAACAAAGGCCCTTCTTTATAAAGTTACCAGGGAATCCTCATATTAACCACCCAAATTAAAGTAGTAATGTACACTTATTTTAAGCTCAAGCATGCTCTGTACATGCAAAGTGTTTTCTAACGCTGGCTGCAGAAGGCAACGGACAGCATCCGCTTCAGAAGAATGAAACATTTAGTCTTGCATATAATCCGTCAGCGAGCAAAATACCTTTTCTACTAAACAGGGCATCCCTCCATGGCAACGGCAAAGGATAAATTACGATGAGGATAAATTACGATGAAACTAATTAAGATCAAATTAAGTTAAACTATTAAAAACATTCGTCCGTTTTGCATGTAAGCATTTTGGCTCCTCTGGGCACGCAATGAGATTCTTTCCCATCAAACCAGGAAGCTGTTTTTTTTTTTAAAAAAAGATTGCTTTATTAATTCCAGCGTTTTTGCTCTGCCTGGGGGAAAAAAATACTCATCAAGATTCTATTCAAATTATAATCTCCAAGAGTCTCATAAGCATATGAGCCTACATTCAGTGCAATGCAGGTAGCCCTCGCCTTGAGCTCAAAATGTCTATTACTTAAGAGAGAGAAATGAATTTTGCTCCATTTTACGACCTTTCTTGCCATAGTTGCTAAGTGAATCCTTGCAGTGGATAACTGAGTAACCCGGTTGTTAAGTGAATATGGCTCCCCGCCCTGTTGACTTTGCTTGTGAGGAGATCGCAAAAGAGGATTATGTGACCTCGAGACACAGCAACCATCATAAGTATGAACCAGTTGCCAAGTGTGTCTGAATTTTGGTCACATAATCATGGGGATGCTTCAAAGGGCGGAACTGTGAAAGATGGCTGCAAGTCACTTTTTTCAGTGCTGCTGTAGCTTCGGATGGTCATTAAATGAATTGCTTGTAAGTCGAGGACTATCTATGGTTGCCAAAACAGAATTTATGTACCGGTAGCCCCTAGGAATCAATCCCAACTTGATGGCACAAATCATCAGTAACAATCAGAGGTGGGAAAAAGAAGATGCTATTATCTGACTAGGGCAGAGGTATAGAACAGGGGTTTCAAACTTGCGATCCATGGGCCAGATGTGTTACGCCTTGGCCATGCCCGCCCCCATTTTAGCAAAGTGGGGAAAAAAGTCGTGATATGTCACGTGACAACAATGTGAAACCGCATGTTTGACACCCCTGGTATAGAATGTTAATCTCTTATTTAGATGAGAGTTCCAAATTAATACCTGTTTTAAATTATCATATTTTTTGGAGTATAAGACGCACCGAAGTATAAGACGCACCAAGATTTTAAAGAGGCAAATTTTTTTTAAAAAGGGTTTTACAGTCTGCAGACCTTGCAAAAACAGGCCCACTTTTTGACAAAAACACGGTATGCATAGCCTTTAGGAGGCTTATGGAGTGCTCCTGGGGACTGGGGGAGGGGCAAAAATGAGCAAAAAAGGGCCCATTTTCCGCTCATTTTTGCTCTCCCCAGCCCCCCAGGAGCACTCTGGAAGCCTCCTAAAGGCTACGCATGGCCATTTTTGCAAAGGGAACGGGGTTTTGGAAAGCCAAAAATGCTGTATTTGGTGTATAAGATGCACCCAGATTTTCACCCTCTTTTTTGAGGGAAAAAGGTGCATCTTATACTCCGAAAAATACGGTACTTCAGATGTATATGTACTGGGTCTCATTCCAAAGCACTATGTTAGATACTGTGTTGTTAACCACTTTGTACAATTTATTTGTTTTTTTTTAATTTATTTTGTCAAGCATATATAAGATAGCAGATAAAAGTATAAACGATAAATGATTTTGAATTCATGAAAAGGATATGAATAAAAACCCATCCCTTACAGACCTCTTAGGAATGGGGTGAGGTCAACAGTAGACAGTCTAAAATTAAAGTTTTAACGTTGAGATTTGCATTTACTAAGCTCTGAGCACATTGTATGGGACTGGTTTGCCATTCTTGCGTTGAGTCTTGCCTGACTACGAGCCACACCTTGATCAAAACGTATTGCAATCATTGGGGAATTCCAATTCAATTCCAAAGCAATGGAAGGGGAACATACCATTTCTAAAATTTTCAAGGTTGGAGCCATTCTACTAAAGCACCCTGACTGCAGGCTCACATTTGACAAAAGCCAGCCTTGTTCCAAACAAAGCATTATTCATTAATGGAAGCCACCCAAACTCATCATCTCTGCTCGCCCCAGCAGTTCTAGCCGGGAGGTCATGTTCCGGCCCCTTCTGTTAACAATGTCACCCTGTGGAATCAGGCATTGTAATTTACAGCACTTACCCTGTGGAGCTCCATCTCTCCAGAGATCTGGATGGCTTCCACCTCGTAAGCCTTTTTTGCAAGGCTCTCAAAACCTGGCTATTTTCCTCCAAACTTTTGGACTGGAAGGTTCATGTGAACTCTCTAACACAGGAGTCACCAACCTTTCAGGCCTCAGGGACCATTGAATTCATAATTTTAAATCCCACGGATCACTAATATGATTTTTAAAAAAGATAAGTGCTATTTATTGCAATATAAAAATTGCAAATAATTTTTCTGGACACCATCAAAAATTTCACGCAGACCACCAGTGGTCCATGGACCACCAGTTGGTGACCGCTGGTCTAACTCACATTTATTGTGAAGCCGAGAACCTTCTGTGGGCAACCTCAGATGTTTATTATTTGGTCTGTTCTAACTGTTGGCTTTAATTGTGCAGGGCAGCTAGAGTCCCTGCTGTGAGAGGGACAGCCATATAAATAATTTAAATGCATAAAGAAGGCAATACTATCCTAAATGCTCAACAGTCCAGAAGGAAACTAAGCCATTATTTATCTCTACATTTGGAGAGCGCTCTGCTCTAACAGATAAGCAAGAGATCATTTTAGAACATCCTTGAATGTAGAGATCAGCTGACCCTGCAAACACATGAGCAAAGTATAACGTAACAGCAGTAACCAGCTTTCCTCTGCTGGTGCCCTCCCATAAAAGGTAAATGTAAAGATTCCCCTTGCACATATGTGCTAGTCGTTTCCGACTCTAGGGGATGGTGCTCATCTCCATTTCAAAGCCAAAGAGCCAGTGCTGTCCAAAGACGTCTCCGGGGTCACGTGGCTGGCATGACTAAACGCCGATGGCACACAGAACGCTGTTACCTTCCCACCAAAGGTGCTCCCTATTTTTCTACTTGCATTTTTTACGTGCTTTTGAACTGCTAGGTTGGCAGAAGCTGGGACAAGTAACAGGAACTCATTCTGTAACACAGCACTAGGGATTCGAACTGCCAAACTGCCGATCTTTCTGATTGACAAGCTTCCACCCTCCCCTAGCAAGTCGCAATCAAGGATAGACTCTACCTGAACAGGGAGATTGCTCTTAGTTGGCATTAGAAGATTGGAAGATAACAGAGTTGAATAGGACCTTGGAGGTCTTCCAGTCCAACCCTCTACTCAAAAGCAGGAAACCCTATAACAGAGGTCCCCAAACCTGGCAACTTTAAGACTTGTGGACTTCTACTCCCAGCCCTAGCTGGCTGGAGAATTCTGGGAGTTGAAGTCCACAAGTCTTAAAGTTGCCAAGTTTGGGAACCCTTGCCCTATATCATCTTTGAAGATCCATGACTTTGCCTAGTATGCTTTTAAAAATCATTTTAGCCAAATGACCCCACAACATGGCAGCGAAATGAACTGTGTCACGGAGAAAGCAGGCTTTTGCTCTATTCTATATTAAAGACTAATGGGTATACTCTCCAAATGGTGCCTCCAAGGCAGCACATTGTCCAGGAAGCCAAGCAATTGGAGTGTCTTGACCATCTGCATGCCACCAGTTGCCCAGAATTAAAGCCCAGCATTCTGATAAACCCCCATTTTTACTCCTAAGCCTGAGTTCCCGTCTGTAATCAATGTAATCAACCAGAACATTCATACTTAGAATTAACAATTACAAGAAAAACAGACTACGGATGAACAGTGAGAATTGTTGCAAACCTTTTGCTTGAGCTCAAGCAACATCCAACTGGACTCTTGCCATGATGTTGAAATACATGAATCTCCAGCAACATCAGCACGAGGCTCCATTTATTGGGAGACGATTCAGATCGCTATTAACGCGTGTTTCTCAACTCCCCAATTTGAAGACGTGTGAATTCCCCAGCCAGCTTCTTCAAATGGCCAAAACCGGGTTGTTAACTTTTACACGCGCTACTCGTTCGCTTCACACTAGTTAGCCCATGCTGGAAAATAAGTATCACTCGATCTGATCCGGCGAAGCTACTTCATCGATCCTTAGGCTACTCTCTCCTCATTCCTGTTTATCAGCTTCCTCTTTCCAAACAGCTTACTCCAACTTAGCGTCACCTTTTAAAATTCCGGTCCCGCCTGCATCTAACCGGGGCAAAGCCCGACCAGTGTTATTTATTTATTCATTTAATTTATTTATTAGCCCGACTTACCAGCCAGATGCCACGATTTCCTCCGCCCGTAGCGCCCACACCCGCCGGCTTGGTCCGCCTCGTAGCCCACCAGGGGCGTGCAGATGCCATCGGCCACCTGCCCCGCCAGCAGCAGCGCCCCCGCATGTTGGGTGCTATAGCCCAACACCGAATGGAAGTAAACCAGCAAGTAGGTGAACCACATCGAGGCGCACAAGTCGTTCAGGAAATGACCCACCGAGTAACTCAGCCGGTCGCGAAGGGACAACGGCGGCGGGGCGTCCATCCTGCCGGGGAGGCGAGGAGCGAGACGCGGCTCACAGCGCCGGGGCCTGGAGCCCGATGGCCCCAGCTGTGCGTAAAAGCGCACCGGCAGGGCGCATCAGCTGGAGCGCGGTTGGAAAGCGTCCAGGTTCCGGCCGGGCGGGAAAATCAAGGAGAATCGTAGGTCCTGAGGGGAAAAGCCCAGCCATGCGACCGCAGAACCACTTTTATCGGCCCCGGGGAAGCCCCCCCGGGTTGGTGGCCGGCGACGTAACCACTTAGGCTGCACCGCGGCGTCCTCCATTGGCTCCGCCCCGGGGAAGATAGGCGCGCCTCCTCCAACGGCCTCGCGGATGGAGCCAATGGAAAGTCTGCGCTGCGAAGACGCCGCGCCTCCAAGGTGGGACTCGGTTTTAGGCAGCAGCCGGCTTCGTATCCTTCGCTCCGCCTTTCGGGTTGGGGAACTTCTCCGGTAAAAGCAAAGCCGGCTCCTGGATTCAAATCCGAGACTACACTAAGGCAGAAGCTTGTCCAGCCCAAGGGTAAAACACCCAGACATAAACTGAGCAATGTGGTAGATGCAGTACAATGCAATGAACCAGATCTGCGCATTGGGGAAACAAAACAACCACTTCATAAACGCATGGCACAACATAGGAGAACAAACCCATCTGGGTTTTTAGGGCAAACCCCGCTCTTTTGAAGACAGCAAAGTCCACATTTTGGACAGGAAAAAAAGTGTTGGTTTGAAAGAGGGGTAAAAGAGGCCATCTGTGTCAAAATTGAACAGAAAGGGAGGGATACAACACCACCTGTCTTCAGTCTACAACACAGTCTTTTTAGCAGTTCCAAAAAGGCTCCACACTCATTTGCACCACTCAGGTGACCCTGAGATAAACCTCCAGGTGGCCTTAAAGAATGCATATGACCAGCTGTCTGCAAGAAATATAAATCCTTCCATGTCCTACCATCTAGTCAAAGCTGAAGAAGAAGCTTGGATGAGAAGCAGAATGTCTTCAAAGAAAACCAAGAAAGTCTCTTGACCTGGTTGACTGAGACTCTCGGGAGACATTTCCCAGATGAATTGCATCAAGGGGGACTCCGATTCGTCATCAACCGTTCAGTTGTATCCAACCCTTGGCTGTGGATCATCAATCTCCACACTCCTGATTCCAGGAGCTGAATTCCAGGGGTCTCGTTCTTTGAACCTTGAGTTGCCACCTTCTCCAAAGAAAGCAAGTTTGCCTGTGCTTTTGCTAGTCACAGTTTTGGCCCATTTTATGTTCTA